GGGAAGGAGAAACCATACAACATATCGGGGTGGAAGAACAATGACTGCGGCAGAAACAGCGCGATGATGGCGAGGTCTTCTTGGGATCTGCGTGGGGCCCCACTGTACTGGCCCCCCAGGCAGCCCTCGAAAGCGGCGACAGTTTCACACTTGACAGCCACCCAGGGAAGGGGAGGTCCTGGTTGGATCTGCGTAGGGCCCCATCGTGCTGCCCCGCCGAGCAGCCCTCGAACGTGGCCACAGTTTCACACTTCGCAGCCCTCCAGGGATGGCGACGGCCCGTTTGGGTCTGCGTGGGACCCCACTGTTGGCTCCCCCAGCAGCCCTCGAAAGTAGCGACAGTTTCGCAATTCGCAGCCCCCCAGCAGCCTTCGAAAGTGGCGACAGTTCCACACTTCGCAACCCCCCACAGATGGCGAGGGCCCGTTTGGGCTTGCGTGGGACCCATTGTGCTGGCCCTCCCAGCGGCCCTCCAAATTGCGACATTTTCGCATTTCGCAACCACCCCGGGGATGGCGAGGACCCGTTTGGTGGGTCTGCGTGGGACCCCACTGTGCTGTCTCTCCCAGCAGCGCTCGAACGTGGCGACAGTTTCACAGTTCGCAGTCCCAGGGATGGCGAAGTTCCGTTTAGGTCTGCGTGGGACCCATTGAGTTGGTCCCCCAGCAGCCGTCGAAAGTGGGGACAGTTTCACACTTCACAGCCCCCCAGGGAAGGCGAGGTCCCGTTTGGGTCTGTGTGGACCCCACTGTGCTGCCCCGCCGAGCAGCCCTCGACCGTGGATTCGGTTTCACACTTCGCAGCCCCCCAGGGATGGCGAGCCCGTTTGGGTCTGCTTGGGACCCCACTGTGGTGGCCCCCACCAGCAGTCCTCACACAGTGGCGACAATATTACACTTCGCAGCCCCCCAGGAACGTCGATGTCCCGTTTGGGTCTGCGTGGGGCTATTGGGCTGTCCCCCCCAGCAGCCCTCGAAAGTGGCGACGGTTTCACACTTCGCAGCCCCCCAGGGATGGCGAGGTCCCGTTTGGGTCTGCGTGGGACCCTGCTGTGGTGGCCTCGGAAGTGGCGACAATTTCACACTTCGCAGCCCCCCAAGGATGGCGAGGTACTGTTTGGGTTTGTTTGGGACCCCACTGTGCTGGCCCTTCCAGCGGCCTTCGCGACATTTTCACATTTCGCAGCCACCCCAGCGATGGCGAGGTCCCGTGTGGGTTTGCGTGGCGTCACACTGTGCTTGCCCCTCCAGCAGGCAAGCGAGAGGGGGACAGAGCTGGCTCCCCCAGCAGGCATGTGCAGGCAGGCGCAGGCAGGTGAGAGGGGGACAACAGACGGGACGAGGAGGGAAAGGGAGTTGGCGACCCTACTGCTCTAGTCAAAACGGAAACCCAACCAAAGGAGTGTTGGGAATATCAAGAATCAGAAGAGTGAGGCGAACACGAACAATAATATGAATAACGTCATGTTGAGTCAGAACAAACATAATATGAATATGACTATGAATGCTACTCAGAAGAGCATTATTCACACAACGATGAACACTACGACTGATAATACGTATACCAGATCTGGTAATACTAAAACATGAGCGTAACAACACACATGCGTATGGGCATAGTAATAGCAAGCATAATCATATTTCGACTCACCATATTAGTGTGCCTTATAAGAAGAAGGGCTCTATGATTATTCCGAATAACATAAATAGTAACAATAATATTACGACCAGTATTCACAGTATCATTTACCATGCGACGTACCCAACCCAGCTGCACCAATGGTTGATAGAAGGTGTGCCGACAATCGTGTGACAGCAACACTGCAAAAGACGGTGCACGGCGGATATTTATGTCGTGCGAAGTGTGCGTGGCCGAGTCGCAGAGAAGAGGTACAAAAGGCCAGGAGGCATTGTATTGGGAAGGATTCGCACCAGGGAAATATCAGGGTGGAATTTGCAATCACCTCGGCAAGAGCAGCACGATGATGGCGAGGTTTTTTTTGTGATCTGCGCGGGACCCCACTGTGCTGGTCCCCCAGCAGCCCTCGAAAATGGGGGCAGTTTCAAGCATCGCAGTCCCCCACGGATGGCGAGGTCCCGGTTGGATCTGCGTGGGGCCCCATTGTGCTGCCCCGCCGAGCAGCCCTCGAAAGTGGCGACAATTTCAAATATCGCAGCCCCCCCAGAGATGGCGAGGTACCGTTTGGGTCTGCGTACGGTCCTACATTTCTGGCTGCCCCAGCAGCCCTGAACAGTGGCGACAGCTTTACATTTCGCTGCCACCCCAGGGACTGCGAGGTCCCGTTTGGGTCTGCGTGGGGGCCCACTGTGCTAGCCCCCCCAGCAGCCTTCGAAAGTGGCGACGTTTTCATACTTCGCAGCCCCCCAGGGATGGCGAGGTCCCGTTTGGGTCTGCGTGGGGGCCCATTGTGCTAGCCCCCCTAGCAGCCCTTGAAAGTGTTGACAATTTCACGCTTCGTGGAACCCCAGAGATGGCGAGGTCCCGTCGGTCTGCGTGGGACTCGAATGTGCTAGCCCCCCCACCAGCACTCGAAAGTGGCGACACTTTCAGATTCCGCAGCTACCCAGGGATGGCGAGGTTCCGTTTGGGTCTGCGTGGGACCCCAATGTGGTGGCCCCCGAGCAGCCTTCGAAAGTTGCGACAGTCTCACATTTCGCTGCCCCCCAGGGATGGCGAGGCCTCGTTTGGGTTTGCGTGGGGCCCCACTGTGCTGGCTCCCCCAGCAGCCCGCGAATGTTGCGACGGTCTCACACTTCGCAGCCCCCTGGGGATGGCGAGGGCCCGTTTGGGACCCCAGTGTGGTGCCCCGCCAAGCAGCCCTCGAAAGTGGCGACAATTTCAAATATCGCAGCCCCCTAGAGATGGCGAGGTACCGTTTGGGTCTGCGTACGGTCTTACATTTCTGGCTGCCCCAGCAGCCCTGAACAGTGGCGACAGTTTTACACATGTCGCAGCCCCCCTAGGGATGGCGAGGTCCCGTGTGGGTCTGCGTGGGGGCCCACTGTGCTAGCCCCCCCAGCAGCCCTCGAAAGTGGCGACACTTTCAGATTCCGCAGATACCCAGGGATGGCGAGGTTCCGTTTGGGTCTGCGTGGGACCCCAATGTGGTGGCCCCCGAGCAGCCTTCGAAAGTTGCGACAGTTTCACATTTCGCTGCCCCCCAGGGATGGCGAGGCCTCGTTTGGGTTTGCGTGGGGCCCCACTGTGCTGGCTCCCCCAGCAGCCCGCGAATGTTGCGACGGTCTCACACTTCGCAGCCCCCTGGGGATGGCGAGGGCCCGTTTGGGACCCCAGTGTGGTGCCCCGCCAAGCAGCCCTCGAAAGTGGCGACAATTTCAAATATCGCAGCCCCCTAGAGATGGCGAGGTACCGTTTGGGTCTGCGTACGGTCTTACATTTCTGGCTGCCCCAGCAGCCCTGAACAGTGGCGACAGTTTTACACATGTCGCAGCCCCCCTAGGGATGGCGAGGTCCCGTGTGGGTCTGCGTGGGGGCCCACTGTGCTAGCCCCCCCAGCAGCCCTCGAAAGTGGCGACACTTTCAGATTCCGCAGATACCCAGGGATGGCGAGGTTCTGTTTGGGTCTGCGTGGGACCCCAATGTGGTGGCCCCCGAGCAGCCTTCGAAAGTTGCGACAGTTTCACATTTCGCTGCCCCCCAGGGATGGCGAGGCCTCGTTTGGGTTTGCGTGGGGCCCCACTGTGCTGGCTCCCCCAGCAGCCCGCGAATGTTGCGACCGTTTCACACTTCGCAGCCCCCTGGGGATGGCGAGGGCCCGTTTGGGACCCCAGTGTGGTGCCCCCCCCCGGCAGCCTTCGAAAGTGGCGACTCCGTTACATGTCGCACCCTTCCAGGGATAGCGAGGCTCCGTTTGGATCTGTGTGGGACCCCACTGTGCTGGCCCCGCCAGCAGCCCTGTTTCGCAGCCCCCCAGGGATGGCGAGGTCCCGTGTGGGTCTGCGTGGGGCCCCACTGTGCTGGCCCCAGCAGCCCTCGAAAGTGGCGACAGTTTCAAAATTGGTTGGTTCTGTTTGGGTCTGCGTGGGACACCAGTGTGATGCCCCCCCAGGCAGCCTTGAAAGTGGCGACGTTTTCGCTTTTCGCGGCCCCCCAGGGATGGCGAGGTCCCGTTTGGGTCTGCGTGGGAACCCATTGTGCTGGCCCCTTCAGCAGGCAGGCGAGAGGGGGACAAAGCTGGCTCCCCCAGCAGGCAGGTGCAGACAGGCGCAGGCAGGCGAAAGTGGGACAGAGGGCGTGAAGAGAAGGAATAGGGAGTTGGCGACTTCACCGCTCTACTCAGAACGAGAACCCAACCGGTGGAGGGTTGTGACTCGTAATACTGATAATACCAATTATCATAACACTAATAAGAATAACATGAAGACAAGCCATACGACGAAGTAACATAAGAAGCATCCTGCGACGTATCCAACCCATCGGCACCAATGGATGATCTAATAATGTGACAGCAACATTGCAAGCGACGGTGCACGGCGGATATCTATGTCTTGCGAAGGTTGCGCGGCCCACCCTTACGGGTAAGTTTGGCCTTCGGGTCCCCCCTCGCCACCACGTCTGGACGCGGCTCGAAGAAGCAGCCAGGACGAAGCCCAGGAAGTGGTCTGATGACCAGCTCTGGTAAGATTCTTGCCGGGAGGACGCGTGGGAACACGCGGGGCTGGCAACGTGGAAGCTGCTGTCCCTTGTGGCTTGGTCTCTTGCCGGCACAGCATGTCAGGGGGTGTGAAGCATGGAGATGGACATGGTGAGGGTGGGCTGAGGGCGCAGGGAGGAAGCAGGGCGAGGGCACGAACACGTGGGAACGACACTGATGCATATTGAAGTGCTGGTTTATTTGCGGGTGCTTGCGATTCCATGTTATTACCACTTTGTCTGAGTATGTCAGTACGTGCAGGTGCCAATAATTGTTCGTTGTTGTTATCTTCAAAGTATCCAGAGCGGGTTGGGTTGCATTGAAGGCCGAGATGAAGTTGGCCCTGCTTTTGAACGTCATCGATCCCAAGGAACTCTATGCCTCTCTCCCGTTGTATCTCGTGTCTCCAGTTATGTCTCTGAGCCCCTGTGCAGCGGAAGCACCTGGAGGCCCTGAAATGGGAGGTCACGGGTCCTCACGAGGAATTTGTGCAATTATTGAATCGCTTCGCTCATTCCGCCGGCCCGTGATATGGCATCGCTGGTTTTTGTCTGTGTGTTCGTTGCCCATGTTGCGCTCTTGGGGGCGGGTGTCGTTCGGACGCGTTGCGTGGGGAGTTTTGATGGTGAAGCAGTTCCCTGGGGGTCGTCTCTCGATGGGGCGAAATAGAGTCGTCGTCAAGATGCTTCTTTGGGGGGCCTCTTGGGGTCTGTTGAGAGGCCGTTCGGGGGCGCCTGGGAGACATGTTTGAAGCCTTCTGGGGCTTCTTTTGGGCCTCCTGGGAGTCTCCTGGGGCCTCTTGGCGACATCTTGGGGCCTCTTGGAGGCCTCTTGGGGCCTCTTTGGGACCTCCTGGGCGCCTTCTGGGACGGAGGGCTCCATTTTTGAGTTCTCGGTATCCCTCCTGAGTCCCTCTTGGGCCCGTCTTGGGGCCTCTTGGTCCGTCTTGGGCGGCACTTGGGCCGTCTTGAGGGCTCTCTTGGGTCGTTTCGGCGCCGTCTTGGGAGCTTCGTGGCCGTCTTGGAGCGGTCTTGGGGGCCTCTTGGGCCGTCTTGGAGCGTCCGGAAGCCGAAAAAGCCAGAACACAAAAAACATCGGAAAAACCAATGAAAATCAACGATTTTGGCCTCTTGGGGCTCTCTTCGGAGGCCTCTTGGAAGGCTCTTGGGGCGTCTTGGAGGCCTCTTGGTCGGGGGCCTCTTGGGCAGTCTTGGGGGCCTCTTGGGGCACTCTGAGCGCGCTCTGGGGAGCCTGAGAGGCCGCACCCAGAAGGAAAACCATCTCTGAGTAGACTTGGTCGGGCGGCGACCGGGCGTTGGTCGGGGTACTTTTCGCCGGGGGACCCCCAGGGGCCGCCCCGCGCGCGCGAACTAGAAATACTGTTAATACTGTTAACCAGTTACCGGAGATCTTAGCACGCCCTGGCCCGTTGGGCCGGCGAATTAGTGCCCCGTCGGAGGAAACACATTTGCAGGAGGAACTTGAGCATATACGCGCTGGATTCTAAGCACCAGCATTAGTCCCATGTCGTAGAGACTCATTCACTGCGTGGAGCTCCCCATAAGTGCATCGATTTGCATGGACCATTCCGCCGTGAGTGTCTAGGCGCAAGAGTTTTCGAATCTGAATGTGCTTGAGTATTGACAGACAAGGAGTGAATCTGCCTGTGAATGAGCAGGAATGTGAATGGGTCTCAGTAGTACGAGTGAATCTATGCGCATGAGTCTGAGTATGTGTAATCTTAGGGCGAGTGTATCTGCACGTCAGTGGTCTGAGCATGACTGGGCGTGACTGAGCATGATGAGCCAAGGATTTGAGGTGCTCATGCAAACGCCGTGCGAAACCCTCGGCCTTCGTTGGCTAGCCCAGAAGATCTCTCGCAGTGGCTGCACAGTGATACATCCATCCACGACACGGAGAGGAGAGACCCAATCTACAGGAACACATGTAAAACTTTGGGACTGGATCCACATGCGAGGGGCAATCTATAGGAACACACATCGCACAACAAGGGTTCGTGCCCCAGAAGAGGCAACACTCGATAGGAGGAAAATACATAACACCTCGGATTGGAGCCACAGGACAGGGGCATTCCTTAAATGTATGTACGTATGTATGCATGTTTGTACATGTATGCGCACATTTTAACAGGTATACATTTACAGGTGTCTATGTGTATTTGCATGCGTAGGTATATGTTTATGCATAGGTAAATGCAAACGTAACTGTATATGTATATGTATACGTTTACGTATGCGTATATGTTGGTACGTACAGGTATAGGTGTTTATGTATGCTTATGTATATGTCAGTATTTGTACATGCCTATGTATGTATTCATTTATGTTTATGCACATATTTACATAGGTGTCTGTTTTTAGTTTATATATATGTGTATATAGATACACAACTGTTTGCAACGGCATCTGTGCATCCATATGTAGAAGTACATATTTATGCACATGCGTATTCGCATGCGTATGCATATGTATATGTAGATATGTTTGTGAATGTAGTTGAGTATGTTTGTATATGCACATGCAGACGTTCCTGTATACGTATAGGTAGATGCGCACGCATTTACACATGCATATGTGTATTTATATACTCTTGCATCTGCATCTGTATATGTATACGCCTATGTATATGTTTATGTATATATGTATATGCATATGCATATGCATATGTATGTGTGCATGTATGCGTGTATGTTTATGTATAGGTAGATGTACATGTATGTGTAAATGTATATGTAATTATATACGTACATGCTTTGATTATGTATATGCATCTGCATATAGATGTCTGGCTATGCATGTGTCTATGTCTATATATTCGTACATGTATATGGATTATGCAATTAAAAGTTTTTTTGGTTTTTGTACACGTATATGTACATGCATGCGAATGTGTACGCGTATGTGTACATGTATACGTATCTGTATTTGTATATGTATAGCTAGATGTTTATGTTTAGGTTTATGTATATGTGTGTGAGCATGAAGATCTATACGTATATGCATATATATACATATATATAAATATGTACATATATGTATGTTTAGGTATATGCATGCTGTGTCTTATGGGTATGGGCATTTGTATGTGTAATATATGTGTGAGTATACGTAGATGTAGACGTATGTGCCGATGCATATACACATTGTAGATGTATATGCATATGTGTTGATATACCCATGCAAGATGTTTCTGAATTTGTAAAATATCTTTTATATATCGAGAACGCCGGCGGCGCATCACCGGCCGCTCCCTGGGAGTTTGACGCAGCGTCTCGGGAACCTCTTGGAGGCAGTTTTGAAGTCTCTTCGGCTTCTCTCAGGGGCCGTTCCGTTACGGGGCCTCTTGGGGCTTCTTTTGGGCCTCTTTTGGGCTTATTGGGGGCTTCTTGAGGCCCATCGACTGTTTCTTGGGAGCCTGCTGGCGGGGTCGGAGGTCTCGCTGTTGCGGCAAGCTCGAAGTGTCCTTTCGATTGCCGCCTCTTGGGGCTCTCTTACGGCACTCTTGTGCCGTATTGGGTTTCTTGGGTCGTCTTGGGGTGCTCGTGGGCTGTATTTGGACTCTCGGCGGGGCTTTTGGGGCCATCTTGGGGTGACCGCGGGGGCCTAGATGTAGATGTATATGTAGATGTGTATATGTATATGTAGACGTATATTTTTCTGCATCTGTAGATGTACCTTTTATATATCGAGGACGCCGGCGGCGCATCACCAGTCGCTCCTTGGGAGTTTGACGCAGCGTCTCGGGAGCCTCTTGGAGGCAGTTTTGAAGCCTCTTCGGCTCCTCTTAGGGGCCGTTAGGGGGCCTCTTGGGGCTTCTTTTGGACCTATTTTGGGCTTATTGGGGGCTTCTTGGGACCCATCGAATGTTTCTTGGGAGCCTGCTGGCGGGGTCGGAGGTCTCGCTGTGGCGACAAGCTCGAAGTGTCCTTTCGATTTGGGCCTCTTGGAGCTCTCTTGCGGCACTCCTGTGCCGTATTGGGCTTCTCTAGGGTCGTCTTGGGGTGCCCGTGGGCTGTATTTGGGCTCCGTGGGAGTTTGATGTAGCCTCTCGGGAGCCTCGTGCCTCTCGGAAGCCTCCTGGAAGCAGGTTCGAAGCCTCTTAGGGGCCGGCTTGGGGCCTCTTGAGGGTTCTTGGGGGTCTCCTGGGGTCTCCTGGGGGGCTTCCTGGGAGCTCCTTGAGGCCTCCGGGGGGGCCTCTTGGGGCCTCCTGGCGGTCCTTGGAGCGGATGGCTCGAGCTTTCCGTTCGTGGCGCCCCTCCGGGCCCCCTCTAACGCTCTTCTTGGGGCCCTCTTGGGCCGTCTTTGGCGCCTCTTGGGCCGTCTTGGGGCCATCTTGGGCTGTCTTGAGTCTTGGGGCACTCTTGGAGTCTTCTTGGGCTGTCTTGGGGCGGTCTTGGAGGCCTCTTGGGCCGTCTTGGAGCGTCGGAAAGTGTCAGAAATACAGGGTTTTAGCAGGCGTGCGTGTGTAGTATCTGTGCTTATCTTGTTTGTTACAGCAGCGCACGCGTACACAGGGCGCCCTTTTAGGATCAAGGGTATTAAAGCATCCTTATCATCGATCCCCGCCCGCCTGGGCGGACTCTCATGGTAAGCGGAGCGTGACAGCTCCGGGACCTGCGCAACATAGGCCGCTGGGCTGGGCCGCCGCGCCCGGGCGCCCCGCGGCAGGCGACGGCCGCAGCCGCCGCCAGAGGTCGCCGAAGCTCCTCTCCGCCGCCGCGGTCACCACCGCGGCAGTCGTGTCAGCCCACGACGACGAGCCCTCCGCCGATCCGGCCGAGGGCACCATCCTGTGCAACAGCGCTGCTGCTGCTGATCATTCCCATCCTCACGAAGAAGATGTCCATCGAGCTGGACAGGAATGGAGTCCCTCAGTATGCAGGCCAGCCTGAGTATTTCAATGAATACGAAGAGCGAGCCTGGGATCTCTATCATGGCAGGACTGGCGAGAAGTCTAAGCAGGCCGCGACAGCGCTGCATCTACGATCAGGCCTTTCTGGTCCAGCCTACGAAGCAGTGCGCAAGCTCAAGCATGAGGAGTTGATAGCTACTGATGAGTCTGGAGAATCAAGGCAGGACGGGCTCACTCTTTTCCTCACGACGTTGAAGAAAGAAGTTCAAGACATTGCGCCCGTCCGGAGCACCGAGAGCTTCGACAAGGCTTTGTACGGATCATCGGTCTGGCGCGACCGCAACGAGTCCATGGCCAACTACGTAACAAGGAGGCGAAAGGAGTTCGCAGAGTTGCAGGAGGTCAGCGCCACGACTACGATCTCAGAGGATATTCAGGCCGCACTGATCCTCAGATTCTGCGGCATCAGCATGAAGGAGCAAGCCGCAGTCCTCGCCTCCAACAAGA